TTCTTTGCCACCACAAGGTTGTTCTCCGTGTTTCTGACAGAAAAAAAAAATAGATTAAAAAAGAATAAACAACCCTCAGACAGATTAACTCTTTGCAGTCGGTAGTGTCCACACGTTCATAAACACAGGCTCTCCCAACAGTCATGTATATAACGTGTATATAGACTGTTACAGATCACAGTGGCCATTTGAGGTCTTCTCTATTCATGTAGTTTTGGTTCATCCAGTAGATTTGTATCCAAGTCCACAATAACAGTTTTTCAGGAACTGTAGAGATGAAGCAAGAAAATATTTTTGTGCAGTGTTTCTTTTGGTACATGGACTAAAATTCAAATTGCATTATTTTGTAAGAACTTTGAGCAGTACTGATTCAAAGTAATATTTTCACCAATAATTAAGAATGTATAAAACAAACTAAATTAAACACTGAAGCTTTTGCTTTAGATAGAAGATGAACAAATATAAAAAACCGAATTACTGGTCATACAGAGTTAAGTAATGGTATTGTAAAAGATAAATTTTCAGTTGTGTGGGTAATACTTAATAGCCCTTTACTTTGCAAGACACCAGCTGAACACAGGAGTGGTGGAATTTGGGCAAGAATTCAAGCAGTGACATAACGATTCCTGCAGCACCTCTCTTTCTGCTTCCTGCGGGTCACATACTTATTTACATTTCTTGGCTGGATTTACAAAACCTGCTGACGTTTCTGCGCGGAGTCCCTGGTGCTGGCGGGGGTCCTGGCTGCCTGCACTGCTAAGGGGAAGGAATGAGTGTCCTGTCCCCTCTGGTTTCACTGCTGGGGAGGTCTGGCAGGACCACCCAAAACCTTACTGCTTTGACCCCCAGTCAGTGTCAAATTCAGCTGGGCTGGTGAGGCAGCCTGGCCAATGGGTTCCAGGCTGGAAGCGAGCTGCCGTCCTTGTCAACTGTAGCCCCAGTCAGAGCGTTGCTGGTTCCATTGTCTCTCGGGCAGATGCTGGTGCACTCCCTCTCCTGCACTTCTTCCTTCCCAAAAAGACTCTTCCAAGTTCTCATAAAATGACCTAGCTGTCTCTCTTGTGTTATTGCTTATTAAATGGCTGTCTGTCTCTGTGATGAATATTTTACAATAGAAACCTGTTAAGTTTCTGTGTTGGAGAGCTGAGGCGCAGTCATCTCAATGAATTGATGTGCAGTCTTGGCCTTTCCAGGCTTTCTTGAGAATTACTGAATTATACAGCCAAAGTTACAATAAAAAGAGGAATAATGTTGATCTGATTTGTACATCTTAAATTTCAGAACAGCTCATAAGAACAGAACACAAACAAGCTGTGGATTAATGCTCCACGGCTTTTAATATGTATGCAAAATTGTGTTAACTTGTCCTGAGTTTTCCTTTTGCAGGCTTAACAGGAAACACTGGGGGTTTTTTCCCCTCCCCTGCTCTAAGCAGCCCCCTCACACTTACAAAGCAGCCAACTTGATGGACAAGGCTCTGCGTTTCTCAGCCAGTGCTGGAGGCCATTTGGGTGCAGCAGTGGGTGCCCAGGCGTGGGGCAGCCCCGTCCCCCGGCACAGCCATCCCAGGCAGGAGCCCCCAGTTGCCTGCTTGTTAGATAGAGCCACCCTGAGTGAGAGGACTGGGTGAGTAACAGAGAAGTCTTTTGTTGTCAACCCATTTTCTTGCTAAATATTTCCTTTGAGCGGAAGAGATTGATATCTGGCTCTTGCTTGGTGTTGTGCGGAATCTGCAGACAGAGAGGGAGCAGCCCAAGACAGAGGGCAAGCTGATGAATGCAGCTGATTCAGGGCAGGCCACGACGTGTGAACAGAAACCTTTTGAAGGAGAGAGGGCCTTCTTTTGTGGGATGGCGCCTCGTGCTTCAAAAGAAGGGAGAAAGGATGCTTTCAGGCCCGGGCGCCCTGGACTCCGGCCTGGCTGTGTCTTGGGCTGCAGGGTGGCAGTGCTGTGCCCCCAGTGTCCCGGCCCTGCTGCTGGCACCCTCGGCATCCTTGGTGAAGTGCAGGACAGTGCAGGGGATGGGGATGGCAGGGCAGCCCTATCGACTCCGTCTCACTGAGGTTTTGTGGCCGTGGCGTGAGCAACACGGATGTAAATGCGGTAACTACAGCGGACCGTGCTGTATTGGAAAGCTATGCTTATGTGTATGAGTCTGTATATCAGTGTTGCCCAGGCATTTTTATAATGGCCTTTATGTAGTTAATCAAAACAAGGATTCAACATGATCTTAACATGGGAATAAGTCATTTCTTTTTAATTGCAATTTAAAGCTACATGAAAGGGTAAATAAAAAGTACTTGCAGCAGACGCTATACCAGCAAGTTAAAGTGTGGTTCAATAAGCTGGAGTGGGAGAGAATGAGGACATGTTGAAAAGCATATGGGTACTGTATATCCATCATAAAGACAACAGCATGGCATGGAGATGAGTGACCCAGAGGGCTGAAACACCAGCACTGTGGCTGCTGCCATTTCTCTTTCAGCTGCTCTGGAGAAGGACTGAAGGGTGAGGAGCATTGTGACTGTAAGACACCACTTCTAAGTATTTTGGTTTCTGAGTGGAGAAGCCATCACAGAGAGATACTCCTTAGAAAAGGAGAAACATCTTAGGAGATTATTCAAGTATAAATAAACCAACATGCAGGCTTTATAATATGCAAAGAGGAGGCACTATGTAGCTTGCTGTTTCTGAGTAACGGCCAGGATGGGACTGGGGCAAAATCACGTGTTACTTAAAAGACCAAATTATCACAATTTTTATATCAAATTGACATTTCCCAAATACCAGCTTAATGGTAAAATGTTTCTATTAGCTTTTTTACTAGAATTCAGGTGCAGAATACCTTTTTTTTTTTGCAGGCAGCAAGCTCCCACAGAAGACAGGTGCACTGCAGAGCTGGCTGTGGGAACTCATGGCAGAGCCCTGATCTGAAAAGGAGCTCCAAATTTATTCT